ATGACAGATATGAAAAAATATGTAGTTTCAGACAAATATTATTATAAGTAAAGAATTTTTGCTATAGATATTTATTTTAGGTACCCTTAATTGCAAGAATAGATTTCAGCATGTACTATTTTGAGTTGGTGGGTCCTATAAGTTTATGTGACATATCCTGATACTTTTTTGTTTTATTAGATCATAGAATTTTACTGCATTTAATGCATGTATGCATTATCTGTTATTTTTTTAATTGTCCCCTAATTTCGTCATCTCTTAAGTTAATCCAGTGCTGCTGGCGATGCATTTATGTAGGCTACATGTCTTGCCCACTGAGAGTTTACGTTATCAGTTGTCTTTACTCATAGATGGCTCCACAAGAACTTAAGTCACCAATGAGCCAATTACTAGTACTACTTATCTCACCTGTTAACCCTTTTCCATTATTTTTGGAAAAAAAAATCTTTTTATCTTAAATGGATATTAATAATGTCACTAACAGATTGATAATTATGATGTCTATGATAATGATAACAGCATCAGTAGTGATCAAGTTAGTCAGGTGAGGCAACAAGGACTACTAAATGACTCATTAAAGGCTAAGCACTTGTGTTGAGACATCTCTCAAAATAGTACTTCAGCGGAGGCTACATTTTTCTTTTGGCATTGGGTTAAAAGTCAATCTGTAGGAAAGAGAAAGAAAACAAGAAGGAATCCAAGGAATACAAATTCATAATCCCAACAGATAAGCTTATCTGTTGAGATTATGAATTTGTGAATGAATTGATCAGTTGAAACCAGGCATTATATAATAAAACTGTAATTTGCATTAAAAAATTAAAAGAGAATCCGAGGAAGAACAAAATACAGACACACTAACTGTTCAAGTCAGGCCATATTCTCACTGAAACAGAAACCGCAGAATCTAGCTTGACTTGAACTTTTGTGAAACCCTTCCCACCCTTTGTTGTGGCTGTGTTTTCATGAGATCTCGGAGGCAACTTAAGTATCCTTACCAGGTGAAGAAAAAGCGAGAGAATTCAAGCGGGGTGGTGCAACATGCCGCGAGAACTCATCACCTCTCACTTGCCATCCACCTGTCTTTTATGCTCGAGGAGCTCTCTGGAATGCAGATTGACATGCATGACCGGCATAAGCAGTATGTACGCAAGGAACTCATGATAACAACAGGTGTGGTACAGGTTTTGTTGATTTTATTACCATTTGTTGAATGACCTTTGAATGAATTTATCTGGTTTTAACTTTCGGTGTTGCTATGATTATTATATTTGTTTTGTGATGTTCGTGTAGGTGAAGAGTAATAGAGGATACTTTTGATATTATATGCTGTTGTAGTAGTGGTAGTATGCTGTTACTAGGAATTTTGTAATATTGATAAGTGTATAATCTTGAAATCATAATGTACATATTAATATGAAATGTGACATGTGTACTTCATCTTTTATATTATCATAAGTATATATATCACTCATAATGTCATTTTTTATTCTATTCTTCTCTTCCTTCAGGTCATGATGAGAGGAACGAAGAAGAACTTGAATCCCTCTTAGAGCAGTCCACTGAAATCTTCACACAAAATATCATCAAGGAAACGCAGTTGGCACGGCAGCAGTTGCAGGACCTGCAGGACAGGCATGAAACTGTCATTAAATTGGAGAAATCTATAACGGAACTTTGTCAGTTATTCCAGGTAAGAAGCCATTGTCTTATTTTGTAAAGTAAATTATATTTACATGTATTCTTTTCATCCAATAGCTTTGTAGTTACTGGATTTTGTATTTATTTGTCTATTTGTTTATTTACTTATTTATTAGCATATTTATTCATGATTCAGTCATCTAAGTAGTGATCAGAAATGGAAGTTAATAAGAAAAAGATATGTTTTGTTTTTCTTTGCTTTCCCTTTTATTTTCCCTCACATTGAAATATATAGGACTCCTATTGTTATAATCTTTCTCTATTCATACCTTATATTATGGAAAAGCTCAAAGACCTGTTATCATGTATTCTTCTCCAAATATCTTCAGGTTTCTAGAAATTCCAAGTGTGCTCCAGGTCTCAGCAAGCCAAAACCAGTACTTAGATAACACAATTTTACCCAACAGGACCTGGCATTACTAGTGCACCAGCAAGGAGAAACCATTGACAGAATAGAGTCGCACATGTTTGAGGCGCAGGAGAGGGCCACCAAGGCGAAAGAACAGCTGCAAGAAGCCGTTGTCAACAAGAAGAAAGCTATGAAAAAGAAATTCATCCTGTATATGATCGGAGCAACCTGCCTGCTTGTTGTGGCTTTGATTATTATATTCAGTGTATGTGAATGCTAAATTTGGTCTTTTTTCTTTTCTTTACTTTTCTTTTTCTTTTTATTGTTTATTCATTATAATGGTTTTCGAAATACAAGTAAACTGATAACAAACAGTATATATATTCCCTCCTCAGGTGTTCAGATTGTGGTCATGATCATAAATGTTGAGCATTTAATGAAGCTGAATTAAAATTGCTATTGTATATAGCCATTACATTATTTCATATAGTATAGTGATTAAGATGAGTTCATTTAACTCTTTACAGTGATCATCCAAACATTTCAGTGATTAATCCAAGACAATCTCAGTTTCTTTTCAACAACAATTATTTGTGGATGTACTTTGCTCTTTTTATATATTTTTTTTATTTTTTTTATAACATAACCATTTTTATCTTGGCTTTTGTGGTAAGTCCTATAATTGGATTTTAAAATTTGTATGATGTCGTCTAAACTGGTAAACTTTAATTTGTAGGCTTGTATGAATGTTGTCAGTATATTATCCTGTCAGTTGCCTCACTGAAGAAACTGCATTTATCTAAGAAATCCTATTGTGTTTAGTGTAGCTGCAGATCTAGACCCATCAATGACGGGTACATGTCCTCTAGTTTTGTTTTCACACAGATGGTTCCACAAGTGCTCAGCCACCAAGGAGTCAGTTAGTTGGCAAGTAACTGCATGTGATATCCCCATTCCTTGAATTTATTTTATTTATTTGTTTTTTAAATTCTATTATTATCAGTACTGTTGTTATTATGATTGACATTACGATTATTATATTGTTATTAGAATACTAATAATAAAAAATCAAAAGAATGCCTCTAAAAATCAAGAAAAAAGGTAGACAGGTGTGATAGCTAGGACTAATAATTGACTCCTTGGTGAGTAAGCACATTTTAATCATCTCTGTGCAAACACAATAAATAAGCTAAAATTGCCATTAACATGTCATGTATTTCATGCCATCCGTAACCTTTAGGTTATCTGAGAGTGTTTGACGATACTTTTAAGGTTGTAAAAGAGGAAAAGGAACAAACTAGATAGGTGCTACATATGTAATGAGCTTTCATTTCATTTCTTTTGTTTTTTGTTTTTATTGTGACTTTTTCATATTTATGTACTTATACTTTCCCTAGTAGATACTTTATTAGTATTTTGTTGAAAATTTACATTAGATTTTGATTTATAGAATTGTTGCACAATAAACTGTCCGTCTGAAATGTAATAATCATGTTTAATCTTTTTCTTTCTTATTCTTTCATTTACGATGCAATTCATTTCTTTCTCTCTCTTTTCATAGTAGTGGTAAGACTAACTCATATTTTGTATTACAGTTTGTGGGCTGAGGAGGATGAAGACCCTCCCTGGTTCTGTGCCCCTCACATCGGTGTTCAAGAGGACGGCTAATAAATTGTCAGCGAGTGATATCTGCGTTGTCTTTTTAGTGTGAATATTTATTTTGTTTATTATGTGGAATAAAAGAATAATAGCTTGAAGGCCACTCCATTTTGCAGTGGGATTGGTCTTTAGGAATGTGCGGTTGGGTTTGAATTGTGCATTTTGCATTTTAGAAAGTCAAAATATTTACCCTGGCTGGTGTATTATTGAAAAGGTCATGCATTTTCTTTTTTCGTCTTGCTAATTCCAAAATCCATTTTGTTTACTTTATTTTTATGAGAGTTCAAATTGGCTTTATATTTTGTACTAAATGATAAGATAAGAATTATGTTTTGCACCAATTTAAAGAAAGACTATATTTTTGGCAGAATTATTGTTATTATTAACATTATTATTGATATATGTATTTTTTAAAGGTAGGCTAGGAATATTTACCACACCATCGATAATTTTGTGATATTAGGATACATAGAGAAGAGAATGTATGATGCTATTTTTCAAACTGACCATGTAAAGAGTACTGGAATATTTTTTTACCAATATGACCTTTTATGTTGCACGTAAAAGATTATTGTTCTAGGAATCTTCCAGGTAAGAAATCCGTATAAAGTATCTAATATTACAGTTGTATGAGTTTGATGATTTGGCACAAAAGGAGTAAGCTGCCAAAATACCATTCTTTTGTTTTCTCCTAAGAGCAGAGGAGTAGTCTTCATGCATTGATAATGCACAATAAACTAATATAGAATCTCTGTAAGAGAAGAATGTGTTCATAAATTAATGGCATATATATCTGTATTGATGCAGATTTGTTATTATTATTTTCATTATTATTATTACTATCTATTATTATTATTATTATTATCATCATCATTATTTTATGAGATTGAACACCTTTTGGGAAATATTTTGAATTTATTTTAATTAATTTTACCTTTAGTCACAAGCATGCACTTGGATGCACACCAACACCTTTTCTTTTCTATAACTTCCATTTTCCTCTCTTTTCCACATTGTTTTTCCTTTTTTTAGTCTATGCTTTCTAAAAATTCTTTGTCTTATGATGAGGAAGTATGTAATGTTTGTTAAAGAGCTGGAGTAATCATTGTTTCTTTTTTGATTTCATCATTCATTGTATTTTCCTATTTGTTTATTTATTTCTCTGAGGCATCAAGAACTTCATGCTTTAAACAGTTATTATCTGAATCTGTTTTCTGTCTTACAAAGGAGTATTTTACAGGGAATATGAAGTCAATCAGCAAATCTTTTCTCCAAATGACAGTCTGTTTATCAATAACATTTTAAAAATAATATATATATGTATATTTATAAGTTGTAGCCTATAACTTGTAACTCCGTGCCTACATCACTGGATCTTTTCCTTTGACAGTGAGTTATCCCAGAACAATTCACAATATCCTCAGGAATGTAATTTTTGTATCCAGATATTCCTATTTTGCATTTGCTTTGCATTACCCGGTTTGATATTGGTTTATTAGAGATTGCGGTATTTAGTTCTCGAATATTGTACTGGTTGAATATTTCAGTTTAGCAAAATTGAGGATAAAAATGAATGAAAGAAATGGAAAATTTAGAATGTATTTCCATTCTGTCGGCATCTACTTCCTCTTCTTCTTCTATATGCCTTCAGTTTTATTTTCTTCTCCTATCTTGTCTTATACTTCTTTTTATTTTATTTGTTCCTTCTCTTTGTGACCCAGCTGCAGTCGTTACAACTATATTTTTAAGACGTTGAAGTAACAGTTATTTATTTCACAAAAGGGCATAGAGGCCTAGCCAAACGTGGTATGGTAACTCCTTAGGCTTCATACCTCATTGTAGTTCCTGGTGATGTTGATATGATTATTTTGTTCTTGTGTTACTTTGTTCATGATTTGTATAATGATTCGAGTGTATGCAGGTGTTGAAGGCATTGTGTTTAGTGACTTCAGGTGCTCAGTGTTAGTATAGAATTTGTTTTGTTTAACTATCACGAAGTCCTCTTTGGAAAGATAACATTTTGTACCGCCTTATCCCGGAAATATTTTGGAAAGATAACATTCTGTACCGCAATATCCCGGAAACATTGACTCATTTTCGGGTATGTGGTTAATTTTTTTTATTGTTATTAGTGGATAATGGATTTTGATGTCAATATTTGCCTGGGACAGAATGGGTTTTTATTTTTATTTTTTATTTATTTATTTATTTATTTTAGATTTATTTATTTATTTTTTAAGAGTGAACCACAATTTCTTTCATTTTGTATATTTGATAAAGCTGTTTTATAGTAATCTGTATATTTGATGATAATTTAAAAGTTAGGAGGATTTTCTTTATTCCTTAATTTATAAATGTGCAAGCAACATGCAGAGCTCTTGTTAACTTTATTGGTAATTTTGATTATTCACCTTTCATATTTTTTTCTTCTTTTAAGAGAAAAAAATTATATCAGTTTGTTATAATTAGATTTTCAGATTCATATGGCACTTTTATATTATAGCATTTACTCAAAATTGTTTCAAGTTTAGATATAAGGTTCATATTGGCAAATTTGTAAAGATAGGAAGATGTTCCTATAGAAGAAGGAAAAATTATTATCTTAATTTTAATGAAGAAATTATTTGAGATTGGTGGAATTTTAAGAATTATAACTTTGCATTTTTAAGCCAATATTTTGGTAATATATTTGAGTTTCTCTATTGTCTAACCTAAATACAAACAAAACTTCACTTCCACAATCAGACATCACCTATTACACGTGCCTTCAAAAATATTGTGCCTTTTATCTTTTTTCAAACACAAAATAATTGGGTGCTTAAACAGTAAAGACCCATTCATTTGCTTTTAATCTCAATAAGTGACACTTGGAGAGAATTAGAAAAGTGATATGAAATTCTTCCTATCTGAGAAATACTGTAGCAGATATGCAGGATTTTCTGCATAAGTAATTGAAAGTGCATGTGTTTTCCATTTACCATTTCTCATGTGTGGTTTCATGCCCTGTATGTGTATGTGTATATTTGAATGAATGTAGCTGAAAATATGAGACATAAATAGTATTTGATACAATCTATAATTTGATGTTTTGTTTTACATATGTGTATATTTTATGAGATATAAGAGAGGCAACTGGTTTGTGATCGGGCGGCAGCTTTTATAAACCGTTTCAACCAGTGGAAATTTTCCGTTTGGCTGCTTGATTGTCAATGTATGAATTAATGTTGACATATAGAATTTATCATTATTTTTCTTTCTTTCTGCAGAAGGGCTTGGTTAAAATATTGGTTAATGACTATCATACTTTAGATGTTAAAACACAAATATGCTACAATTGTGTTTCAGCTTCCACATTTATATATATTCATTTGTAGCAAATCTGTTGGGAAATCTAGAAAATATAGTATTTATGATAATGAAAACCATCCGATCAAATGTGAAAAGCAGCATATTTATTGCCTTTTATGTCACCAGCTTCTTCCTAAGACATGATATCCATGATATCCACATCATTCATTTATTTGCATGCTAAGGGTCAATGTAGCATGGTAGTAAAAGGGTTAATGTAGATTTATATTTGCACTTGTACTAAATAATCTGACTTGGCTATACAAGGGACCAAAGACCTAAATATAAGCTGGTGCCTTAATGTGTAGTTATTAATGTTTCATGAATGACTGAATCATGCATGTATGGTAATAATGCAATAAAATGTACTTAATCCTGAAATACTTAAATGCATTTGTGATGAATTATATAATGCCTTGTTTTTGTATCGTCAAATAATTAAA